TCTCGTCTTTAATCAATTTTGATGTGATAATGCCTGCCACCGACTATAAAAGCTCGTCGGCATCACTTAGACATTCTATCTTAAGTCTCCGACGCGACCAGGTCCATTCTATGGACTCTCCTCAAACTACATCAACTCTCGAGCTCGAACTCGATGCCTTTCAGAAACAAGTTACCGACCGATTTCTTGATTTATCATCGGTCGGACCCGATCGTTTGCTTTCTTTAGCTTGGATCCGGAAACTTCTCGATTCTTTCCTCTGTTGTCAGGAGGAGTTTCGAGTGATTTTGTTCAATAACAAGTCGTTGGTCAATAGACCGCCGCTGGACCGCTTAGTTCAGGAGTTTTTTGAACGGACTGTCAAGGCTTTGGATGTTTGTAACGCGATTCGTGATGGAATTGAGCAGATCAGAGAGTGGAAGAAGCTTTTGGAGATTGTTTTGTGTGCTTTGGATGATCAAAGATTGTTCGGTGAAGGTCAGTTTCGTCGTGCTAAAAAAGCTTTGATTGATTTGTCAATTTCTATGTTGGACGAGAAGGATTCGACTGCATCTACTTTGGCTCAAAGAAATCGGTCTTTTGGAAGACAGCAAGCTTCGTCCAGAGATCAGCATCATAGGAATCTTGGGCATTTTAGATCGTTGTCGTGGAGCGTGTCGCGGTCGTGGTCTGCAGCCAGGCAGCTGCAGGCAATTGGGAATAATTTGGTCGTGCCACGAGGAAATGAAGTTGTGGCCACTAATGGAATTGCGGTGGCTGTTTATTCTATGAACACGATTTTGCTTTTTGTAATGTGGGCACTTGTGGCTGCGATTCCGTGCCAGGACAGAGGATTGCAAGTGCATTTTTCCATTCCTAGGCAGTTCCCGTGGGCTCAATCGGTCCTGTCGTTGCACGAGAGGATCTTGGAGGAGTCGCGGAAAAGGGATAGGAGGAATGCTTGTGGGTTGTTGAGAGAGCTTTACCAGATGGATAAGTGTACGAGGGTTATGAGCGAATTGACGGATTGGATTCAGTTTCCATTAACAGAGGAAAAAGAAGGAGAGGTGAGGCAAAAAGTGATGGAATTGGCAAATGTTTGTGAGGTCTTGAAGGAGGGATTGGATCCCTTGGAAAGACAAGTGAGAGAGGTGTTTCACAGGATTGTTCGCAGCCGGACTGAAGGGCTTGATTCTTTGGGAAGGCCTAATCACGAGTAATATTTTGAGTGACGGGCCATTTGTGATCTGGCAGGTGAAGGTATGGAGAATGATTCCGAGGCATGGTTTGAAAATAAATGGGTAAGGAAAGGGAAATTTTCTTGTATTTATGGGGCAATATATATGCTGTGTAAAGAAATGTAGGATATGGAAACTGGGGCAAATATTTGCAGTACTTGGTTGCTGCTGATCTAGAGCTTTTCTGCTATTGTATAATCGAATTTTTCTCAGTAGAAAATGCATCTTGCTGTTGTAGCTGATTTTCTGTTCTTGATTTTGATTTGCTTTTTGTTGAAGGTATACATATACTCTTGTATGTATTGCAAAAGGGGAGACTTGAGTGCTTAAAGTTATGATCTTTGGTCATTACAAGCTAACAATAATTGTATTTATCTCGTTGTGATCTCCTTGGAGAAGTTATATATAGCTAGATGTTGATATAAAAAGAAACAGCATTTGTACTTGTTAATGTGACGAGATTTTCTGTTTTCATATCTAAGTTCTGTTGAGCCTGCAGGTAGTCTTTTTTATCCACTCCCTCTCTTGCACACACTTGTTGATCTCTTGACATTGTAATATGGGCAATTGCCTTCACAAGATATCTTGCCTGCTCCTCTTCCAACCTTCTATCAAGGATTCAACCGGGGAATGTTGCATCTATTGATGACCTGGTTGAACATTCATAAAAAATGCCAGCATTTGCCCATATCTCAACTTACAGTTATTGTCTCCGTGGGATGACGACAGGGATAGATCTTGTTTATACTCCATTTTCTGTATCTTCATTTTTTTCATAACTCTATTAATTTCATTATTTTGTTTTTGAGCAAATAAAGACTAAAGAATTCCATTTCGAAGTTTTCTTTTTTACTTGATTAATTTCTGACCACCAATAAGTTACCGCAGGATATTGGAGTTTCTGCTTTCATTGTCACAGAGGTGGGTCTTACATGTAATAGGTCAAAGCTTCTAGCGTTCTATATTAGTTCAGAGGTTCATTTGACTTTGATTTGCTGCCATATGAACTTCTTCTGAGGCTTATTTTTATATTGTTCTTCTCGCAGTTTGCAAAATAGTTAAATATCTTAGCATGATATCTTAGAACAACTAATTGGTGGCATCCGCTGTTGTAGTTGACTTGGATTCAGTCTGATCTCGAGCCCTTGAAACTTCTAGCATTTTGACCCCATAAACATTTTGCATCTAGAATAGAATCTCAGCAATTTGTTTGTCTAGAATAAAAGGCATTTTAAGACTTTCTAGAGCTCTGTTTTTTCTTCTGATGAAGACACAATATGCCTTTGATGTCCTCTGAATTTTATTCTGCCAGGAACAATTTCGCACCAGCCAAGTTCCCAACATATTTTGAAGACCACAATATGCTCGTGGGGGGAATTTATACTAGCCTGTTTCACAATTAACTTTTTTCTTTTCACCGTTCTAGAAAAACATAAATGTTACCTTCTTGATCTTCTCCATATGAACAACCAATAAGAGGGTAGCATGGCACTTGATAAGACTTTGTAATGAGTTTCTATTTTAAAAAAAAATTAATTTAAATATTCGAGTTAATGTGTGAATAACTTAATTAATTATATAATTTTAAAATTGATAATATGTAAACTTTCAAGTTTTGAGAGGAGTTAAACTCATAATTACTAAAAAATAAATCTAAAATTTAATTAATTTAATTATATCAAATTAATAAATATCTAGTTTTATTTAGGATAGGAATGGATATTCAATTATACATGAAGTAGATTTTATGTGCAGAACCCTGTGTCCTGAACTGGTAAGAATTCCACTTTAGGTGCAGTACAGCAAATGCAATCAAATGCCTTGTTTCGTACCTGTAATCTATGAACCACCCCTCCCATGTTATAACCACCAGCAAGCGATGCTTTGCTTCATTGTTAAGAGTTTCTGACCTTTTGGGCTACGAAAGCTTCCATTGCACATCTCTCATTTTTTTCACTTCCCCACCTCTTATCCCTTCTTGTCTTCTGACGGGGTCCATGCTCGCTCTTTGGTTTACGTCCTATTCTATCCTTTCCTTTGCAAGAAAAATTGTTCTTTCCAGTGGTTATAGCTCCATGTTCAAGGAGGAATACACTTCATCGAATTTATACAAATAGAAGATGCCATTTATACTTGTTCTTCTCTTTTACTCCCAGTCCATATCTCCCTGATAAACTAGGGCAATAGTGTATTTCTTTTCTTTTTCTTTCCCCTCATGGATACTAGACCAGACCATGGGCTCAAGTTCCGGTGACCCTCTTGCGGCTTCATACATCGTTAAGAACTGAATTTCAAGCCACAAGTACCTTAGGTCTTAAGCCTATCAGGTGTTAGCTTGTGGTTTGTCGGCAAAATAATTGATCTACCCAATATTCTGATTAGTTTATGTATAAATTGTGGAGACTTTGAGCGTGATTGTCTCAGAAAGGACCACTGAAAAGCATTAAATTGATGCTTTTCAGTGGTTGAAACACCTGAGACAAACGAGTCCTCGGCATACAATCGGTAACAGTTGATAAAACATATCAATCACGGCCTAATTTTGAGTACTGTTGAGGACACTGCTTGCTCTCTGTGTTTACTTGATACAACCATGTACGTTTGATCGCCATTTCTTGTCTGCTACCGTTAAAAGTTCGCCTCGCCGAAAATAATACATTTCTGAAGCATTAAATCCTGTTATTCCTCTCCAATAACTTACTTATCAATGTTTGTTAAAGGAAATTTCTTTAGCAACCCATCACTACCCTCTCATTTATTTATGCAGCACGGGCATGGTTGGTGAAACATGACATCCTGAAGAGAGCAGATTAGACATTTACATACCAACTAGAGAAAATATGCCGGCACGATACTGGTCCCTGTAACAGCATGAAAGAGTGTCGTTCTATTTTATTCAACTAATAATGGCCCTTCTTTAAATCTTATGCAGGTTATACTGAACTTTGAGCAAGGCATCTTGTGATGCACAACGTGTCCGGGCTCTGCATGGGCCTAATGAAAAAACATAGCCACCACACATGATATTGCTAGCGCATGGTGTGTATTGTTTCTGTGGAGTCGCTTGTCTCTCCCAATTAACCAGGAGAGTTCAGTTGATTTTCCTCCATTAATTTCATTTCTCTGGCTGATATGATCTGTAGGTAACATAATTGCTCTTTATTTGGTCATTTATTACCATCTTTTAGCTCCGTGATAAATGGAAGTGAACTTCTATTAACGATATGCTGCAATGAATACAGTATTAATGGACTCTTAAAAATTCCCCAACAACTGCTGAATGGAAAGCAGGAAGTCAGGAAATAAAAACTTGAACCCTCAAAAACACTGCTGAATGTGTAAAAGGATTGTCAAACTGGTAGCAAATTACCTTTATTTTCCAGCTGATATAACTGAATATTTAGTTCATTCTTGGTCGATGGCTGAAATTAAGAATCTCTTGAAGCTATCTTGTTAGGAATGCATGCTTATCAATAGCACAGAAACAACCATTGTTCTTCGCAACCGAGAATATTTGTGCAGTGGTTGGTCCTAGATGTTCTGGTCCTAGCAAAATAGCACACCTTCATTTCATTGCAGTATCGGTATCTTTGAATCAGATTTACTTCATCCGGGAAACAAGATATGTGGTCTTTGGGATTTAAGTCAATAATTAGGCAAGTGTCAACTTGAATGCTTAGTGCTAGTTAAAAATTCTTACGTATTGTAGCAATTAGACACCATACCCGAGTTTTCTAGCTGTAATTCTGAAATAATAAGAACAGTATCGTGCACGAATATGATGTGCTCCAATGGCATGTTAATTCGCATGCCAAACTTCAATCTGTTCTATGGAAGATATTATTTTGATGCACTCCATTTTATTGCTGTCAACAATAACAAAGCTAATAAAGCCCACTCGGTTACATACAATTCACCTTTTCTTAGCTCTAATCCATCTAATGACAAGCACTATGATAGAGACAAGAATGGCCGACCCTGCAACAACAAGAGGAGGATATAACTTGGTTCCTCTTGAAACAGAATTCGTTCTATTTGTTGCTCCTTCACCTAGATCCTTCACCTCAACCAATTCATGCTCTTCTACAACATCATCAGTTGTCGCTTCGTTGACTTCCTGGGCTTCATCATTTCTTGATTTATCTGCCAGTTTTTTTTCTTGATCAGGTCCAGGTATCGTTGGTTCTTGAACATTCGTTTCTGTTCCCAGCTTTACTGATTCTTGTGATATTTCAGCGCTGACTGGGTGATTTTCTTCTGCAGCATGTTCTTGATTAGCTTGAGATGATGGTTGGTTTGACGCTTCTGGTTGTTTAGTCACTTGATCCTTGAAAGCTTGTAGCGATTCATCGCGCTCTGGATGTTTTGGTAATGTTTCTTCATCCGCGCTCTTGGCCTCTGGAGTTTCCTGTTTCTTCATCTGCTCTTTCAAACCAAGAAGCTCCTTGCTTTCCGTTTCTTCAGCTAGAGTGGGCTCTTTTGGCTCTTGGTGCTCAATCTCTTTCTCTGGCTTAACCTGCTTAGAGTCCTTGATTGTTGTTTCCTGATATATAGCTGTGGTAGCAGTAGCAGGAGGCTCTGACTTTTCAAGAGTGGCTTCTTCTAATTCGCTCTGATCTTTAGGTTCAGGTTTCCTTTGTAACGTTGTATCTCCAACTCTTTCAGGCTCTCTGTCACCTGCATCAACCTTCTGTTCCTCAAACTTTTCACTTTCTTCCTTGCTTTTAATATTTGGATCTGCAGATTTTTCCTCTATTATCTCTTTGCTATTGTCTCTTTCACCGGACATTTGATCAGCTACCTCTTCTACTTCCTTGAATTGCCCTTGATCAATTGCCTGCTCCTTGACCTGAGCATTTTCTTCATCTGTTCTAATCTTGGGCTCTATGCTTTCTTCCTTAGCTGCTTCATTATCTTTTTCTTTCCTTGAAAGCTCAAGAGCTACTGCTCTTGTTGTTTCAGCCTCCCTTGTATTCATCTCCTTTTGCACAACTTGGTCAATTTCTTCCACCTTCTTCTTCTCGGGCTCTCTACTTTCTCCTTCAGGAGCCTTATCCTCTGTGATTTGTGTAGCTTCACCTCTCCCTTTATCAACCTCCTCTTCCTTCACTTCCTCCACCCCAACACCACGAATTCCCTTCACCAATTTCGGCAGAGTAATCGTCAAAGTCAAATCTTGGTCGCTGAATTTTGCCTTGATTTTATCCAAAATGACACCATGAGGGATTCGAAAAGCCTTGCTGAATGCCCTTAACTCAACCTCTTTCTTGTGCATAATCCACCCTATCAACTCCAGCTCCTGAACTGGCTTCTTCCCACTGATTGTGATCTGATTACCATCTTCACTAATCTTGATGTCAATATTCTCCTTTCTAAAACCTGCACCTTGTCAAATTCTAATCACAATATCCATCATGATCACAACAGCAATAAGAGCAACAAGATTCGGAAGTGCTAACATTGATTACCTGTGAGATATGCAATAAGGGTGAACATGGTCTCGGTTTCTGTAGACAAGAAGAGAGGACCAGCATGGTCTTTAGCAACCCGAAGGCCGGTGAAGGAGGTGATATCATCTCTAGTATGGGTGATCTTGAGTCCCAGTTCTAACTCCATGGCTCTTTTAGATTATTTTTCTCTCCAAAAAAGACAAATTGAGATGGAATTAATAGCCAATGATGAAACATGCAATGCATTTCAACGAAGCAACAGAAGAAATGAATGGTGGCTTTGAGGCGTGTACCTAAGAAAGGCACATATTCATTGCTTCCTAAAATTGAATTTCCATAATCTGTTATAAACAGTTAAAAGCCGGTCGCTTTTCATGTGTGTTTCCACCTTGGCGGGAAGCTAACGGCTCTTTTTTATACCATGGAGTGGAACTGATATATGACTTGGCTAAGGGTTAAAACCCTGTGAACGACGTTGCAAACAAACAAAAGAATGGGATCACTTTTGATTTGCATAAACATGTAGTGATCACCATAAACTTGTTTCTCTTTTCACTTTCGAAGTAGTGTTATTGCAGTAGCAGTGATTATTTTTTAAAATATTTTTTATTTAGTAATATATTAAAATATTATTTTTATTTAAAAATTTATTTTTAATATCAACATATTAAAATAAAAAACACTAAAAAAATTAATTGAAAATAAAAAAATAAAGATTTTTTAGAATTGACTGCAGAAACAAACACTACCACATAAATCCATCAACTGGCCTGAAATTGAACGAATATTGCATATTATTAAAGGTTATTATTGATTTTATCTGCGTTATTTTTTTTTCTATTAATTTGTATTTGAGCAAAAAAAAACTGCATATATTTTTATTTCTGGGATCTTTTGTTAGGAAATTTGACGGTGACCTCCATTAATTGAGAAGAAGTATCCATATCAACTGAGGGCAGTGCTGATCCATATGAAGTGGTGTTGAAGCTAAGAGAATTGGAGAAAAATGTTATAATCGATAAAAATATTTTATAACTACTAAAAGATTAATAAATACAAGTAAAAATACTGATAAAAATAATTTTTATTGATAAATTGTTAATATCTAAACACTTACAAAATAATCCATCGGTAATATACAAAAATATTATCAAATTTGTAATTACTTACTTCCTCAAACTTATTTTACTTTGCTAGCTTAATGGTTAGGTAATATTTTTAAGTCAGTTTCATAGGCATACTAAACTATCCTGTATGATCTAATTAAAGATAAATACATTCATTATATAGTCAAAAAATAAAATAAAATAAGTGAATATGCTTATATAAGACCCAAGTTTATTTTACAATGTTCTAAAATTAATTTTAATATTGAATCATAGTGATTTCCCCCTTTTTCTTTCCACTTTCCTAGCTCATATGAAAGAAAAATTTGCCATAATCTATGTTAAAATTATCCTTAAAACAAATTAAGGTTAATTTCAATTTTTTGTACAGAAGAAACACTTAGGCAGTGTTTAGAAACATTGTTGTCTTCCCCCCCAGATGAAGTGGGGAAAAAAGCTAAGAGCTAGTTTCAAGAAATCACAAAAAGTAGAATGTGGAGCCCATCACTCTCATCAGGATTGATTTTAAACCGTTGATTGTTCATGGATCAGTTAAATCATCTAAACATTATATTTTCCTTTTTGACTAGGGCCCTGTTAATTTTTTGTTGTGACTTTTATGGACTCAATTGGATTACTGCACTTTACTATAGAAACTATTTTGAATTTTAAAACTAAAACTTAAAACTATTTGTTTAGTTTTTGAAAAATAAAAAACCATAAAACAATAATGGCACCAAACACCACCTTCACAAACACACATAAATTGGTGGAGATCTTTCAAGTGTCACAGTAAGGGATGCAGGAAGTCTAATGTCATTTAGAGCATAATTTATAAAATCAAAGAGTTTAGGATTCAATTAATAATAAATAAAATATAAAAGGTTAAATTTACATTTTTAAATTAGGATTTGAATTATAATAAATAGGGTTCTTGTGAGCCATGTCTCATTGCTACACTAGTACCAGGTGATGGAATAAATAAAATAAAAATTAATTTTTTTAAAAAATAAACTCAAGGGTGTTCCGGGCAAAACCATACTGGTCTCTTGAGTGCCTATAATTAGGCAACTAGGCCAACAAGTAACTTATCTGGCAATCAAATAGACTGACCTGACCTTGTGATTAACTCATTTTTCTTTTTCTCTTCTATTTTTTTTCTTTATTTTTCTTCAATTCTTTTCAGGAACTCCTAGCTCACAAACCTAAATTTCATAACAAACCATGAAAAACCTAATATTTTTTTTGTGTAAAGTGTTTTTTATGATTTTATCAGTAACATTATTTATAAAAAAATTAAATAAAAAATCAGTTCATTTCCTTTATCTTTCCCCAGTAACTCTTTTTATTGTCAATGAGAATCCTACATGGTGAAGAGTGACTAGCATCTCCACCATAATAACTCCATCTCTTCCTAGTCTTCAACATCTCTCTCATTAGATGCACTCATTAGATGTAGATATCACATAATATCATTGTAGCTATGCAATTGTATTTTCAATCTTTTTTGATATCACAACTAACTCCCGTACATGTATCAATATCAAGTACACAAAAATAAATTTAGTTTTTTAAAAAGATAAGACAGGATGGTGCTCAAGCAAATAACATTGGTATTCCTACACTTTTAAAAGGAGCTACACACCATTTTCATACAAGACAATCTGAACGATTTAGTTTTCATTGATCTCTATGGAGCCTTTTTTTCTTTGTTGTCATTGATGAAATTTATTTTTATAATAATAATATTAATTGAATTAATAAAAGAATTTTAAGGGATTATGATCCAATGATTTTTTCTACACCATAGCTCTTCACATAAAGATTTTATGTGTTTATTTAATTTTTATATTTAATTCTTGGTTAAACTTATTTTTTATTGCACAAAAAAAATTCCTGTGAATTTGATTATATTGGTGTAGCATTCGATCTTATCATGAAATACAATTTTTTAAAAATATATATAAATTATTCTCTTGAATGGAAAAAAAAAAGAAAAAGAAAAGATCAGAACCATCAAGAAATTCTAGCTGCCAGCGGTTGCACTGTGCGTCCTCTTTTGAGGAGAGAAATGAGAGAAGTGGTTGAAACCACCTTTTTCGTGGGGTCCACCATAGTTTTGAAATCTGAAACGACTTTTTTCGTGGGGTCCACCATAGTTTTAACTTCTTCTTTTTTACTCTCTCTCAGACTTTTCTTTGATGAGTCAATGCTACCGTGCTTTTATCAAAGGAAAATCTAAGGCTCCGGTGTATACGGAACCAATCAAAATGTATTTATTATTTTGATGTGTATATTTTTTTAATTATTTTTTATTTAAAAATATATAAAAATAATTATTTTTATATTTTTAACATTAGTATTTTAAAATTATAAAAATACTAAAAATATTAAATTGATATTTTTTTAAGTAAAGTATTAAAAAAAAACTATCATACTTCTAAATAAAAATATTTTATGATACTTGAAATTAACTAGTGATATCTTATTAATTATTTATTAAGTTTATTTAAAAGAAAATACAAGTAAAAAAGAAAATTTTTAAATTGAGTTATTCTTATCAATTTTTTATAAATAATATATGTTATTTTATCTCTTCTTTTTGCATCGGTAGTTTTGTTTAAGATGAATCTATAAAGTAATTAATAAGATGTGAATTATCATTTAAAATTGCTTCTTTTGAGATGTGGCCTCTCTATTGAGTTATTCTAAAAAAATAGCCTATCTATTCAAGACAAAATAAAAAGGGAAGAAAGGAAACAGCTTTGAGAAGATAAAAAAATAAAAAAAATTAAGGATTAAATTCAAAAAATATAAAATTTTACACAATTTAACCACGGTAAAATATAAGAAAATAAATAGTAAAAAACACACAATGAAAATCCCACGTAGGGTGTAAGATAATTATGATGGGAAGTCATCATAATATATATATATATTAGAAAGAAAGAAAACCCTAACCCCAGGAGGCTGGTGGTGTGTCGGAGCTTCAAATTCCGTTAAAATATACAAAGTGAGGAAAGAAAAAGGAGTGGCAATCGATTGCATGTCAAAAAGCAAAAGCGGAAGAGAGCCGATGATTCCAAGGTAGGGTCATAACAACACATAATCATCGTTAGACTCTTTTTAACTATGCATAAATTATATACTACTCACAACCCATGTTTTTTTACACAACTCGCATCGGATTGCTTTGTCCCTCCTCTGTTTTACAGCAACGGCAGCAGAAAAGCAGCGCAAATTACAGGCCCGTGAAATCCAAGTAACCCCACTGCCACCTGCATTTCCACCCGCAACCAAAAAGAACACCCCCATCAAGAACAGTCCACCATGATATGCAACACACCCACTATTCTTTTTACTTTTTAAAAATAAAATAAAATTGAGACACTTTACTGCTTTAGTATTTACTGATACTAGTACATTAATTATTGTGATAAAAGTTAAGAATTGGTTTGACTTTATCTTTTTTTAAATAAAAACAAAAGATTTGTCTTAAAAAAAAAAATTGTTACCCCAATCCTATCTTTATGAAGGATTGAATAAAAAATGTAAAAAACAAAAGGTTCTTGATTCAAATCAACAAAGAACAATAGAGATTTATGTAAATAAATGTTGTTGGAAATTTATTTAATTAACATGATTTAAATAAATTATGGTTGAATAAAAAAATAATCCTTTGACTTTTTTACTAAAAGAATCCTTGATTTTCAAGATTTAATTCTTGATTTATAATAACTAATCAATTTTTTTCTGTTTTGCCTATTTTTATTGTGATAAACTAAATCTAGTCTAATAAAATACAAAATATATTTTACAACAGATATAAAAGGAGAAAAGGAATATACCGGTTGATGATGGCCGGAGGTGGGCAATGGCCTAATAGTCGCAGAATCAATTTCACCAGTAGGCAAAGGAACAGCAGGATTGCTCTTAATAAAAGGGATGCCACTACCGCCACTTTTATCTGGCATTGATGTTGGCACTGTTTCCATTGGAGAGCCTGCAGCACTACCGCTAGGTGCAGGAGCAGGGGAAGAGGAAGGCCACGCAGGAGGAGATGCCGTAATGTCGCCTGGAATTGGTGCTGGAACTGGAGTTGATGCCATTGGAGGGAGCTGTACTGGTGGCGGTGGTGATGGAGAGACTTTTATGGAGACTTTTTGTGAATCTTGGTTGCAGGATTTTAGAGAGCCGTTGTTGAATGTGAAGTAGAAGAAACCAGGGCGTGATGGGTGCCACTTTAGTTATTTGCATATTGAACATGAAAAATTGTTAGCACATTTTATAGTCTGAGCTAGGATGGGAAAAATAAAAGGGGGAAAGATCTTAACTTTCTGAGCTAGTTCTTGGCATTGTGAAAAGAAATTGGTAATTGTTGTCATCAGGAACAAAGAATTCTGAGACATTTCTTATAGCAGCCTAATATGCATTTATAAAAACATGGGATTTTGTACATTATTGCAATTCGAATTGAGAGAGAGGGAGAAGAGATACCGTGTAAGAGGTGGAATTGGGCTTGGTGAGAAGCGTAGCTTGAGTGAAGTTGCAGAGGCTGAAGGCTCTTTGGTTCTGGAAAATGTACAACTTGTAGCTATACTTGTGTTTGAAAACTGAGAGAAGCCAAAAAACATAAGAAACACAACGTAATGATATCAATTTGCAGCACCAGAACCGGGGAGAAAAAAAAACAACAAAGTAAGAAAGAAATTAAAAAATGGTGGGTTTTCGAGTGCTCACTGATGGAGTCTCCTATATAAACATTAGGATCTTTCCACTCCGAAAAACCGTCTACGAGCATTGTTGTGGAGTCAGAAGGTTGCGAGAGTAGGGAGAGAACAGATAGCAGAAACAGAAGCATGGAAAAAATCTTCATTAGCTGTGGCGTCTGAGAGGCAATGATCATCAGAGGACTTAAATTACTACAGGGGGTTTTAATTTAAGCCTTGGGTGCTTGAAGCTTTGTTTCTGGCTCGCTGAAGCTCTTTGGCCACCCTGCGGCTCATCAAACAGCAAGAGAAAGATCTAAGGAAAAAATATGCGTCTTGGAGGAAGTGGGAAGGGAGAGACAGGTAAAATGACAGGTGTGTTTGGCTTTTGACGTGGGGATTGAATGGATGACAGACATGGATGTTGAAGATTGTGGCGTTTTTTATTATTTTATACAGTGAAAGGTGGAATGATTTTGTTTGTGGAAAAACTTTCCCCAAATTTCTGTTAAAAAAAAAGAAGCAAAGGGAATAATATTTGGGTGCTCTGGTTGAAAATGATGGAGATTATTATTCTAGAATGATTAGCCTGTGATTATAACACTCTGCAGTCAATAGCTAGAAAGCCTACAATCACTTCTCAAAGCAATATTACGGCACTTGAGGGCGTGTACTATCGTTATTGGTGAGGAATTACTTGTCTTAGTATTCGGGTTCGATTTTGTTTTTTACTTGACTGTCACCTGCAATACTTTATTTATTTATTGGGTTTGTAAGATATTAAATAAATTTAAAGATTAATTATGGTATAATTATAATACGTTGACTCGTACATCCTAAATTATTAAAAAAATAAAATAAAATATTACGGTACCATAATATATATATATATATATATATATATATAATTCTTTTAATGTATTAAATTAAAAATAAAATTTTAAAAATAAAAAATATTATTTTAATATATTTTTAAATAATATTTTTAAAACAATAATTATTATCACAAAAACAAAATATTTTTTAAAATAATTATTATCACAAAAAAAAATACATTGTATTTTTTTTATATGGGGAGGTGAGGAATCTGATTCGCTTTCTTTTATAAAATCTCTCAACTTTGTTGATTTTAATCTTTAACTTGTATAATCTGATGATACTCGTAATTCGTGAAGAAAATATCCTATTTCATAAGCCGACAGGGAGGATGCTTGTCAGTAAGCAAGTTAGACGTGGCTCTAACATTAATATTTAAGTTTGATATAATTATTGCACATTAATTTAAGTTATTCTTAATCTTTGAATTAAAAAAATGTAAATATGTTTGTTATAAATAACTCTTATATTTAATATAAAAATTCCTAAAACATTGAATTTAGATTTATTTTAATCAAAAATCAATTTTTTTAAGTTCTAATTCATTAATATCAACTTATATTATCTATTTTTATCCAACTATTGGTTTTTGATCATTTTTGTTAGAACTTATATATAAGAAATAATTTAAATAATTCAGATTTATTTTCAAAAAATTATGATTGCGATTGTCTTTAGCACTCTAATCATACCTTCTTTAGATAGCGAAAACAGAGTCTCTTGCGTGGAGCGAGAGAACCTTGCGTGCTTGATTCCTAAATACAAAGTACTTCAACTAATTAAAACCTGATTTAGTCCATCAAGTCAATTTGAGATTTGGCTAATCTAAAGCTTAAGTAGGTTAAAAATTTAATTGATTTGATTGATTAGTTAAAAATTTAATTGTAATTTATTAATTATTTTTATCAAAATAATATTATTTTAATTTATAAAATAAAATTAATCTGGTTAAAATCTATAACCTAAATCTTGAACTGAATTAACCACCAAACTAAATTTAAAAATACTTATTAAAAGAGAAGGAGAGAGAGAGCAGCATTCTATCCACTCTTTTATCCTAAAAAATAAAAATAAAAATAAATTTATTTAAAACTATTTTTAAAATATAAAAACAAATATATTATAGTTAATTCAAAGTGTTAGCTATTCGTTCCTAAAGATTTTTTCTTGATCATGTACCAATTCCTCTCTAATTTTTTCATCCATAGCAATTTCAAAACTTCTTTCCTTTTTTAAAGTGTCCCGACCACCTTATTATATTCAAAAGTTTTAGGTAATGGGAATGCATTCTAATCCACGTTTTTATAAATTTTATAAATTATTTTAAAAAAATAATAATTTTTTATTGTTATAATATGTTGATATTAAAAATAATTTTTAAAAAATAAAAAATATTATTTTAATGTATTTCCAAGCGAAGCACATTTTAAATTATAATTGCTACCAAAACCCCAAACAGGTACTAAGAAGTAATGCCTCATTACACAATATTAAGAAAAAAAATTATTTATTTGCTAGATATTAGTTTTTTTTTAAATGAATTCCTAAAAAGTGAATTATTTTTTTATATATGGTAATGTCATAAAAATAAGTTAAAAAAGAATTTTCAGTATTAACTATGTTATAGAAAATGAATTGAAAAATAACTTTTAAATATTTTAATTTTTTTCAAGTGTATTAAAAGAATAAAGATGAAATCTTATAGATAAAAAAGTTGGAGGATGAAATTAAAAAAAATAATAATATAATTTTATAAATTATTTCAAATAAAATAAATAACAATTAAAATAATAAAAACCAAATTTGACAGATAATTTTTTTAAAAAAAAATAATGAAATTTAAAAAAATTATTTCATAAATTATTTCAAATAAAAATAAAAAATAATAAAAATAAAAAAAGAAAAGAAAATAACAATAAAAAAATTAAATTCAAAATTGATATAAAAATTAAATCAAAGTAAATTCTAAGAAGTAAAATCAAAGAAAAAAATTCAAAACAAAAAATATAACAATCAAAAGATTAAAGATTAAATTTGATATAATCAATAAATAACAGGGTATTTATTAATTTTATACAACTTCTAAAAAATATTTTTTGCTCAAAATAAAAAAATATATTTTTATAAAAACCAAATAAATGTTTTTTTTACTGCAAATATTTTTTATTGATTAATTTTTTTAATAATAAATAAATATAAGAAAATTTTAAAAATAATATGTAAAAAATCACTTTTTAAAAAAAAAACAATAACCTAAACTCTATCAACATAAGAAAATTTAAAAAATAATATCTAAAAAATCACTTTAAAAAAAAAAACATTTTTAAATCAAGTAATAATTTTTAAAAATAATAATTATGAAGGGTTGCTTAGCCACTTTGTCACTTATCGAATCATTGGGTCTCTCGGAATTAGACATAAAAATTACTATTTGGATCACTTTTATTATTTTTTCTAGGTTTTTTCATATTTATTGCTTTAATTCAGAATTTGTTTCAATATCATTTATACTTTCAGTTTTTTAGTAGAGATAAAAATTTTGATCTATTTAAAGGTTTTGTAAAATTCCTTAGTAACCATATACTTATTTTTTAGAGAATAAAGCAGTGAGTTTATGGTTAACTTTTGTAACCTTTTTCGCTCAACAAGTCTCTTGTGTGTTCTGTGTTGTTTTTATCCTTATAGCTTCCGCTTGCATTCAAAGTCGTGCTGTTGTAGTGCAAACTTCATAAAATTCAAGAAGCTTATCACACACACACACGGGTGTGTGTGAGAGAAACAAATCTATAAAGGTTATGTTACATGTACATATGTGAAACATTTCATGCATATGTCACACCAATTGTTCTTCTCACTTATATTTAGCTTTTGCCTTTAGCTTCCTTTTAATCTTAAACATCATGCTTATAACAATTCCCCTTCCATATAAGATTCTAATCCCCAATATTTAGTGTAAAAGTCAAGAAATTGGTTGTTAAGTTTTTCCAAACATTTCCATGTTGTGTCTTTCTTAAACAATTAGACTATTAAATAAAATCTCATGGTTATATCTTGATTGTAATATTTTACATCCGCGGCGGATGAGGGTTTAATTGTGTTACCTATTTAGTTAAAAATAAGATAAATCTTCTTAAATATTTAGATTTTGAACCTGTTTTTGTCAAACACCACTCCAAATTATGATATCAATTATAAAATCTTAAATTTTATAAGTTACAACAATAACTTTGTCGTGCCTCGAAAAAAATTGAATTTCAAAGACAGCGGCAATGACATGGCCGCAATCCACGTAGCAACCCAACGAAATGTGATGTTTCCTAAATAAATTTTCAACTGTCTTGGGGGCTGCTAATTTTTTAATTAAATAAATAAATCACAGATCTTGCGTCCAAAACTCATTGATGTAAAACGAAACAGCTAAAAGTAAGTCATCATATCCCCTAAAAATTGGAGTAATTCATCATTGGTAAGATCCAACACTGCCCTAACACCTTGGATTTATGCCTCCTTTCCTTTCCAGCATCGTTTAGTAATATTTTATCCATTTAACATCCAAAATCCAAGGTTGCCGAAAGCCATGACTGGACCTTGGATTTCTAAAATGAACGAGCTCTACGTTTTCTCCCTCAGAGAAAACAAAACTTCCTAGAATGCCGTATCAAGGACCTGCATCATTATGGTCAGAGCTCCAAGACGTGGATTTTAAACATGACTGCAAGTATTTTGCGGCAAAATAAAATCAAAACAAGTTCTGCTACAAATAGACACCACCACCGGTCCACCACTCTATATTCTGCCGAGTTGCCAGCACATCGAAACAGTATACCAGTCCAGCACTTCTTACCCCCTATACCACAATTGGGGGCAACTCTCATTACTTGCCAGCACATAGAAACAGTATACCAGTCCAGCACTTCTTACCCCCTATACCACAATTGGGGGCAACAAAGCACTGCATTGCGTAGCAACACCTCCTAACTACATAAATAACGAAAACCTTTTACCATCTATCTAGACGGGATCGTTGCCCCCTAATTCACTTTTATGCAATTTACTTTATGATTCAGGTTGCAATTCTTTTTTCCCCTCCCCCCCCC